AGTCTTTTATAGGGAATAAACCGAATGTTACAAGACAGACTTGTTTTTACCTACACTATTATATTTTCTGACCAAAAGGTCTTCTTCCACTTGTTTTTTAAATTAGTACGGCTAAACTAACAGTCTCTGTTTAGATCTATTTCCTGTTTCTTTGATTAACCTCTTTATCATGAGTTTGGGTGAACAGGGAGTTCTTGATTGGTTTAGAATTTGTGTAGATGTTTTAGGGTAAAGGGGGCGGTACACAAATGCAACATATAGACCGAAGGGTATGACTACTACTGCAATAAAGTTATTAAAAATTTTAAAATACCCATATCCTGTATTTTCAGTCCACATAGTTTAGCAATTTTAAATAGAACTGGAAAACACGGAACAAAGTAAAGCACAACAGAACCAAGACCATGACAGTTTCGGAAGATGGAGACGGAGAAAACCAAGACTTACCTCATCCTTGGTCCTACCTCAAATAATTTTTGGAAATAGTCAAAAAATTGAGCTTTCAATTCATATAGTGGCATTTGGTTGTTTTTTTTAAAGGTTACTTTATACTTTTATACTTTAAGTAGTTTTTGGAGCACATACTTTTTCACTTTCACTTGAGTAAAGAGGTCAAGTTATTACTTCAACTTTTACCAGAGTGTTTTTAAAGTGCAGTATCTATACTTCTACTTAAGTAACAAATGTGTGTACTTCTGACACCACTGCCTAGTGCCTACTTTAACAGCCTGTGGGGGTATTGCTATGATCTGGGGCTGCTGCAGTTGATCAGGTGTAGGTTTAGCAACAGTATGTGCTCAAAGATAAGATCATCTCATGAGCTGGATATACTAAATGACAAAGTCATTTCATCACTGGATGTTTTTCCTCCCTTTTGCCACAAGCATATTCCAAGATGACAATGCCAGGAACTTTTGGATTGGAAATGTCAATGAGTGGTTCAAGAAGCATTAGATATTATTAAGATACATGGATTGGCCAGCACAGTGTCCAATCCTTAACCAAATAGAGAAACGTTGGTATTTGCAAGAAAATGGCTAGCACAGTCATTAGACACTACCATAATCACTGCAAGATCTTGGTGAAAAATTAAAACCACACTGGGTGTGAGACTGTAGATTCTTATGGAAACAATGCCTTGGGAAAGTTTGAAATCAAAGTTAATGGGAGTCCATCGATATCGTAATATGCAGACTTATTTTGTTTTTGCCATGTAGGCTCTGAACTAAGAGGTTCCCAAACATATGGCATAGTGATTCCTGCCAGAAGTAAAGGAGTGCTCCAGGTGAGGCTTGAACTCACAACCTCGGCATTGCTCAGTTGTACTGCCTTATAAGTACCGTGCGCTGACCGATTGCACCACTGGAGCTGATGATAGAGTAATGTTAGTATGCAAATTTGTCAAACACAAAAGGTATATCTTATTTGATACAAGCAATACGAAATATATTTGCAGAAAAAAATGTAGTCTTTTATAAGGAATAAACCGAATGTTACAAGACAGACTTGTTTTTACCTACACTATTATATTTTCTGACCAAAAGGTCTTCTTCCACTTGTTTTTTAAATTAGTACGGCTAAACTAACAGTCTCTGTTTAGATCTATTTCCTGTTTCTTTGATTAACCTCTTTATCATGAGTTTGGGTGAACAGGGAGTTCTTGATTGGTTTAGAATTTGTGTAGATGTTTTAGGGTAAAGGGGGCGGTACACAAATGCAACATATAGACCGAAGGGTATGACTACTACTGCAATAAAGTTATTAAAAATTTTAAAATACCCATATCCTGTATTTTCAGTCCACATAGTTTAGCAATTTTAAATAGAACTGGAAAACACGGAACAAAGTAAAGCACAACAGAACCAAGACCATGACAGTTTCGGAAGATGGAGACGGAGAAAACCAAGACTTACCTCATCCTTGGTCCTACCTCAAATAATTTTTGGAAATAGTCAAAAAATTGAGCTTTCAATTCATATAGTGGCATTTGGTTGTTTTTTTTAAAGGTTACTTTATACTTTTATACTTTAAGTAGTTTTTGGAGCACATACTTTTTCACTTTCACTTGAGTAAAGAGGTCAAGTTATTACTTCAACTTTTACCAGAGTGTTTTTAAAGTGCAGTATCTATACTTCTACTTAAGTAACAAATGTGTGTACTTCTGACACCACTGCCTAGTGCCTACTTTAACAGCCTGTGGGGGTATTGCTATGATCTGGGGCTGCTGCAGTTGATCAGGTGTAGGTTTAGCAACAGTATGTGCTCAAAGATAAGATCATCTCATGAGCTGGATATACTAAATGACAAAGTCATTTCATCACTGGATGTTTTTCCTCCCTTTTGCCACAAGCATATTCCAAGATGACAATGCCAGGAACTTTTGGATTGGAAATGTCAATGAGTGGTTCAAGAAGCATTAGATATTATTAAGATACATGGATTGGCCAGCACAGTGTCCAATCCTTAACCAAATAGAGAAACGTTGGTATTTGCAAGAAAATGGCTAGCACAGTCATTAGACACTACCATAATCACTGCAAGATCTTGGTGAAAAATTAAAACCACACTGGGTGTGAGACTGTAGATTCTTATGGAAACAATGCCTTGGGAAAGTTTGAAATCAAAGTTAATGGGAGTCCATCGATATCGTAATATGCAGACTTATTTTGTTTTTGCCATGTAGGCTCTGAACTAGGGTTGGGAATTGAAAAGATTTTCACGATTCCGATTCCCTTTTCGATTCTATGAAACGATTCGATTCTTTATCGATTCTTTTTTCGATTCCAATTTGGGGGGAAAAGGAGAACAAACAGTTTGATTATCAGAATCAACTTTGTTTACTTAACTATTGCACAATCTTACAAACTCAACAAGATCAAGATGTCCACAGGAAATTTGAAACTGGAGTAACATCTGTGTTTAAATGAAAAATAAATATACAAGAACAAACTTAATAACCAACAATGTCTAATAACAAATGATGGGATAATAACCTATTTTAAATAACAAAAAATACTAATTATAAAACAGTAGTAGGGAAAATTAACAGTTATTTTGCAGAAAGATGAGCATATCTGCTTTTTCTGGAAGGATACAGGATCTTTCAGGGCTTATGGTGTCTCCAGCCGTGGAGAACACCCTCTCAGATGGGGTGGAGGAAGCCTGCACACAGAGGTAGTTTTCAGCCAGTCAGATAGCAAGGGCAGCACATCTTGCTTGTTCCACCACCACAGTGTGGCGCTATCCCTGCAGGGGATGGAGGGCAAGCTTTTATAGAGCTGGATTTCCTGATCTACCCTCTGGGCTAAGGAAAGACGGGGCTTTGATTCACAAAGTGACCGCAGCTCGTTGTCTTCCTCCTCGAATAGTTCTTCCAACTTGCGTAACTTGCGTAACTTGCGTAACTTACGTAACTTACGTAAAAAACGTGACGTAAGTCGTGCTCCCCAGAGCCGGCGCTCTAGGCTCTGGTGCTGCGGGAATCGAAAAAAGAATCGTTCTGCCAAACGATGCCATGGAATCGGAAAATACAGAACCGGTTCTTAACAGGAACCGGTTTTCGATTCCCATCCCTACTCTGAACTAAGAGGTTCCCAAACATATGGCATAGTGATTCCTGCCAGAAGTAAAGGAGTGCTCCAGGTGAGGCTTGAACTCACAACCTCGGCATTGCTCAGTTGTACTGCCTTATAAGTACCGTGCGCTTACCGATTGCACCACTGATGATAGAGTAATGTTAATATGCAAGTTTGTCAAACACAAAAGGTATATCTTATTTGATACAAGTAATACGAAATATATTTGCAGAAAAAAATGTAGTCTTTTATAGGGAATAAACCGAATGTTACAAGACAGACTTGTTTTTACCTACATTATTATATTTTCTGACCAAAAGGTCTTCTTCCACTTGTTTTTTAAATTAGTACGGCTAAACTAACAGTCTCTGTTTAGATCTATTTCCTGTTTCTTTGATTAACCTCTTTATCATGAGTTTGGGTGAACAGGGAGTTCTTGATTGGTTTAGAATTTGTGTAGATGTTTTAGGGTAAAGGGGGCAGTACACAAATGCAACATATAGACTGAAGGGTATGGCTACTACTGCAATAAAGTTATAAAAAATTTTAAAATACCCATATCCTGTATTCTCAGTCCACATAGTCTAGATATTTTAAATAGAACTGGAAAACATGGAACAAAGTAAAGCACAACCGAAATGGTGTGTAGCTGACCCAGACCTTAAGTGAGGGTTTAACCTAGCCTTTTTATTGATGTGAAGAAAACGTTAATGTGTCTTATGGTTAATGATACAGTCGTCTATACGTATCTCTCTTTAGATACTGATAGAAAAACAATCGATAAATGTTCTTTAAAGATACTTCTTCTGGACAATATTACAAAATGTGCACAAGTATTTATGATAAACAGTTTTTATTCATGCTTGAGAATCAAAACAGCCAATAAAAGAAAATATGTACATGGTTTGAGTTTAAAACATTGCAAAAGTAGCAAGGATTTAGCTGCTATTCAGAATTCTATGAAATTATAATATAAACCTCCTTAGGCTCAGTGTAATCAGGACATGTTTCTGCTCACTATGTATTAAACAACACATAAAAGTCAGAAGCCAGACTAGCCTACTTTATATCATCATTTTGTTTTAAAAATGCATGTCTGTGCACAGAACTTTGCAATGTCAAATTTGCAACGTTCTCCTTGTAGCTGTCTACAGCCTAAACATTGGATAAAGGGAAATAAACAAAATCTTCAAATCCAACAATATCAAATCTGTATTGCTTAAAATTTAAACTCTATAGTAAAAATTTGTATCGCTAATTTATTTTTTGATTTGTACCTCGACCGTTGCCCGAATGTGATATAAACACATTCACATGACCATCTGAAAAGCCAAGGGGACTTTGGGAATATAAACATGGAAACAAATAGCTTCTAAAGCAACTGTGCATTTAGGCCTTAAGAAATTTTATTTAATTTAAATTAAAAAATTTTAATTGTATTTTATTTTAATTAGATAATAGTAAATCCTTTCTATATTAACATCAATTTACAATGATTAATTATAACAAAATATACTCTGACTTATGCCTGTTTAGATAGTTATAAAATATCCTATTTGTTTTTTATTGTGAAGAGCATATTAAAAAACAAACAACTATGTTGTATTAGATTTATCTGAGAAATTAGATCTTAAATTGATGTCACCTCTGAGTTGACAACATTTGAGGCTCTATTCAGCTTGTTTGCAAATTGATTCAGTGCTACCTACAACTAGAAATGCTTCCTAAGAACAATTACGTATCTTCTGTTTTAAATTAAATTCATAAGGCAACATGTTTATTATTTTTATGTTTATTAATAAGATACCAACTTTTAAAAGCAACATCGATTTCTTGGACTTCTCTAGTTGGAATGTGTTCCTAATGAATCATCTTTTATTTTTACCAACATATTCATATTGACAGAAAGTTATTTTAATGTTTTTGAAGGGGGCCTTTGAGGCTACTGACTTGAAACTGACTTGAAGGAGGCTTTCATTTCTAAACACTTGGAGTTTATTCATTAAATTGTTGAAATACAATTGGAAAGATGCAATAAGTTTAACAGCAGATTATTTTGAATCCTCTAATACCATAGAAAAATCATTGTTAATTGAAAGCCTTATAAATTAATTCAGCATAGTATTTCTAATAAAATATAAATATTTATTTTTTATTATCAAAATCGGTGCTCATTTTGGTTTATTTCTATTATGTTTTAGATACCTGACCCTGTAATTTTCTGGTTTATTGCATATTATTTTATATCTAAATGTGACACTTAAATAAATTATGTCAGCTTAAGGCACATAAGATTAGAATGCACTGACATAAACTGGACTGATTTGACTTACATTTGGACCAAATTAGATTCTACCGTATGTAATTGGATGTAAATAAAGACTTGTGTAGAATATAACCTGGCTCTAGTTGTTATGGGTTTTATGTTATTTATAAACTCAATGAAATATATCTTTCATTTTCATTTAGTTAAACTTTAACTTGTAACTCTTAACCCAGTAACTCATTTGTAATTCAAATCCTATCTAAAAATACCAATAATTTCACTTAGCAGCTAATATAAAAGAGACAATTAAGATAGTGTTTTTCATTTCAATCAACTATAATTACCTTAGAAACCAGTAAAAACAGCATAAATTCCTTGACATGTAGAAAAAAAATCATATACTTAATGATCAAGACACCTATATTCTAATTTGATTTTCCAAGATAAAATAATATTTTTCTCTTCCAAACTGACCTGTTATTCAAGTTTTCTTAAACTATACACATTATTTTTCTGGCCACATACAACAATACATGTCTACATTAAAAGTCTGTTTGGTGCAGAAAGCCTCAACCCAAAATCCTATGTAACAATAGATTTGGGATCAAAAGCTGAATGGGAGCTGATGAAATAGTTGCTAACAGCATTTTAAATGAGAAATGACTATATAGTAGGAATCACTAGGTTTCTGTGGAAATCTAAAGTTGTACAAAGATGCCAATAATGATGCTGCTCTGTTCTTCTTGCAGGTTTGGCCTTTTCTCCTCAAAAGTGTTTCCATCGGATGGCAGAGAGAATGGCGTGGATAAAGTAGAGGAATGTGGCAGCAAAGGCAAACACCTTCAAAAGGAAAGAAAGCATGAATCCTAAACATTTTATCATTAACAACTGTCTGGGTTAGGTGGAATAATTTTACTTAAAATTACTTAAATGTTAGTATAGAAAAAAAAGCAGAAATGTAATCTTTAACACATAACATATGACAATATCATCCATGCAATCACAAAACATGTTTAAGATGCACTGATTTACATAAACCAACTGAATTATGCTCTGCATGCAGAGTTTTGAGAAAGAGAGGCAAATAAAAACCCAGATAGCTGCATTAAGGATTGTTAGCCTGTTCTGCATACCTAGAACCAGAACTAAACATGGAGAAGCAGCACATCCATTTTTCTCTATGATTTCTCAGAAAAGGAGCAAAATCAACTGTCCCATCAAATGTGGGTCAACCAGTTCTTCAAAAAGTAAAGCAGGCCCAGTACTGCCATGTTTACATGTCAGTATTGTGTTCATTTTATTAAATGCAGTATTGATTTATTATTAAATTAGGAACACATTCATTCCAAGACGTCCTCATAAATGTCTTCCTAAACGTTTTTAAATTAAGTTGTTTCATTTTAGAAGATCTGATATTTTGGGTCAGCAGACCTTTGAGCAATGGAGGTCATTTTTGCTGAATGATAAACATTAATATTCACTGACTTTATTGGTAAGTTGACTTGCTCTTTCTAGCTTCCTGGATGAGTCAGTGATATGATCTTGGTTTCATGGCCACTCTAAGAAGTTTAAGCAGTATCTCATATTTTCCATGTTGAAAAAGTTTCACATACTTTTATATTGGGCTTGGTTGTTTTAGATAGTTATTTACCTTAGTAAGAGAAATAATAAACAAAAAATGCATTTGTTTCTAATGTCTGTCTGATATTTTGTTTCATATATTAAAAAAAAAAGAATTCCGACAAAAGAATAGTATTCTGATGCATATTTTTTACGAGAACATCGACACACAGACGTTTGAATATTTTTCTCACTTCTTATCTACTTCTAATCATTCAATTAGAATGCCATCAAATGTTTTTGTATTAATATCCTTTTACTATTTCAAGATGTAATACAGTCATTTGTATTATGAATCCCTAATAAGGTGACTCAAAAAATGCAAGTGGGTATATTATCAGTGAAACTTTTATAACCATGAAAAACATGTGTGAAAAACAAGTGAAACAGGCAACAGATCAGTTAAAGAAATAACTAACTCTGATGAGCTTCACTGCCATAAAGCCAGTAGAAGCTTGTCCATCTACTACTTTAAATGGTGTAAATAGATACTGGCAGGGAATTTATCATTAAACATTGTTAAAATTGATTAAAAAAGAAGGAAAGGCCTGAATGATGAGAAAAAAGCATAAAGATAAATAATGTCTGTGTTTTTTCAATTTGAATTGATAATCAAATATTAGTCAGCTCAGAAAAATATTCATTATAAAGATATATATTCCCTGTCTTGCATAGCTTAAATTGAAATGCTAAAGGCTCATAGTCTAAAATACAAGTTTAATTCAGCTTTATCTATTGGTCTTATTGGTCTACATGAGGAAAAGTCTTTTAAAATGCCTCCATGTTTTTTTTTTTTTTGCATAATTCAAACAGGATCAGAAATAAAATAGTGTTATAAGGGAATAAATAAGTTTATAGTCAGAAAATTCTTTACACAACAATTCAGGGAAATTGGGGAGATGATGTGAACCCTTTCAAATTAAGAAAAAATCTAAATCTCACCACTGCTGAGATATAAATCCGGTAGAGCCGTAGATCACCACCTTTACTAAGCATAGTAATGAAAGCCAAAGTAACTCCTGCACTGAGGTAGAAGATTACTGCCAGTCCATGGTAGACAAAGTCCTGCATGTACAAAAAAGGAAATACACACATATTACCATACGTTTTTCTTCCTACCATCTTATTTATTTATCTTTTTAAATTCACATTGTTCTTACAGCAGCAGCCCAGCCAGAACTGCTCTTGTGACAGCCAGCAGCAAACAAGATCATCCACAGGAAGGTCATGACGAAGCAGAAGATGGAGACGAACATCACCCATCCCAAAGGGTTTGGTGGGGTCACATGGGTGGATGCCACCAGAATCCAAACCAAGCCTCCAAAGATCTGGACAGAGCGTGTTAGGAGAAAGTCTTAACATTGTTAGAGTGACCCTGATAATCTACCATTGTTTTCCTTTAAGAATAAACTGACATTCAGTATATTTTTTTCTGATTTCTATGCAATAATTAAATGAATAATTAAAAAGATGAATTTGAACCATTGTTTCAATACTAGATTAGTCATAAGTCAACCATCTTCAGTCAAAGAAAAATAGAAAAAAAAGGTGAAAAGTTTTCTTGGGTCCACAGCGACTATATATTAATGCTAAATGTTAAACATTAACCACCCAAATGTTTAGTTAAAAATAATCTTAGTTCAAATTTTCTAGATTCTGGTTTAAAGAAAACATATTTCCCTATAGTCCTCAACAGATTTCTCTCCTGATCTTGAATACAATCGGGACCTGAGTTTGTTTTAATGTGTTGATTTGCACAAACTTGGACTTAAATCATAGACCTGAGAATTAAGATGTTAAAGTTGCAATGATGACAGAGTGTTAGTGAAGGCCTGCTTAAAGGTATAGTGGAGGTTTTTTTTTTTATTTATAAAAAAAAATGCACATGCACAACCCTTTACCCGCTCACGAGAGGCCTGTTAAACACGTGAGCCCATTTCTCCTCGTGTACGCTCTGTTTAAAAGTTGCTGTTTGCATCGCTCATAAAAGCTTACTTTCCGAAAGAAGATGTGCAATTCTTATACTTTGTCAGACTCACCACCGGTAAGTGAAAATGGGGCTGAGCACGTAGGACGGACTTATGTACGGTAAACATATTACCAAAATGACAATTAGGAGCACCACTTATTTTGGTGATCCACCCAGAAAAAGAACATCCTCCACTATACCTTTAATCAATTCCAAATGCATTTTTTACATTAGAGAAAGATGTGGTTTTGAAACACCAACCCGTTTCACATTTTGTCTCATCTGAATCTGTTCTGTCTGTAAAAGAAGGAAATTGGTCGAGGAACAACAAAGAAACACCAAGGTTCAAGGAAGCTGCTTGAACACCAGCGTATTTGTCAAATGCAAAGAGAAAATAGCATCAAATTTACTCAGGAAGAAGGAACATTTACTTGTCTTCTGAATACAAGGTGATGTTTTCAAACCCAGGACTATGATAACAGCAGTCAATCATTGTAAAAGTAGAATCATGCTAAGCTTTTCTTTGTGGCCAGTAGAATTAATAGATTAAACACAGTGGGTTTATTAATAGAGGTCAAGGTCAATCTTCAAATCTTTCAATCTCACAGCATTTAATCAGATAGATGCTTTAAACTTGGACTCATTATATCAACCCAATGATATAATGCAGATCCAACTTAAATTTATTGCTTTAATTGGTAACAAGTAATTCAATCAAGTCGATCCAGAGGAATTTATCAAGTTTATAAGTTGAAAACTTAAATGTTTTAAGTTTGGCAAACTTAATTCAACTACTTGTAACCAATTAAAGCAATTTTTTTGAAGTTGGAGATGCATTTATTTTGTTAGAATATCGGTGTAGCCTCATTCCAGCTGTAAATTTGTGAAATGAACTTTAAATTTTTTTTAATAAATTGCAGTTAAAGGTTTTTCCAAATATAGTCTCGTTGCAACCTATAAAGAGAATTTTAACCAAATACCCCACATGGGAGGGTTTATGTTTATGCTTGTGCAGTGCATGAGTCATGTTGACTTTGTTAGAATTGTAGATCATTCATTAAAATTAAGTTAACTCATCCCATAGATTATTGTCTTCATAATCTTATTCTGTAATTTGCTTTTATAACAATTCCTCCTTGAAAACTGAATATTAAATTTATACTAGAAGCCAAAATTAATTGGTCCATTACAAGAATTAACCTACTTCATAGAGGTGAAACAGAAAATATTTAAAAAGTCTATAGAAGCTTTACATACTGGGTGAAAATTGTTGAGACATAGTTTGCAAATAGCAAGTCATCCACCTCAGAGACAATCCCTCTCTGAGTGTTGACTAAACAAACAGTTGCCTTTCTTTGAATGTGGGAGGTTTTAATTGCTAAGTCACCATATGATACTGTTGACTAAACTCACTGGAATTTTCATAGAACCTATGCTACAACTCAGTGGTCACAGCAAAGACTGTTTAGAAAGAAAGGGCGTGAATAGTTCGTAAAACCATGTTCCAGTTTATCCAAGGAGTTAAACCAAAGGAATCCATTTATTTCAATAAGAATCAATCAAGCAAATTATTTTGGGTAAATTTACTGTAACACATCTTTTATGTTTTATTCCTGAAATAAAAAAATCTATGACATTTTTTTTCTGTACCAGCCTTTTTGCATTTTTTCTTTAGAAATGTTGCATTTTTACCATAATCTTAACATTATAAAAATGGTAAACTTGTAATTTCTCAAATTATATACAAAAAAGACTTTTTTAAACGTTTTTTTTCTTTAACCTTGTTAAAGTGTAAATATTGATATTATTTGTTATTAAATATCAATTGTTTTAACATTCATTTAAGTTTCCTCTAAGAATAAAATTGCCTTGTATTTCCCCCTTTTGCTCAAAAATATCAAATTAAGCTGGGCAGACACTGTGCAACATTTTGAGTCTTTGTACTCAGCTACAGCTAAAACTGTATGATGAAACTGCAGGGTTTAAAAGTTCTCAGTTCACAGACATATGTTCTTACACTGTATGGCCCCATGCTCTGATGCGATCTACCTGCTCACACTGTATGTCCAAAAAACCCAAAATCTTTCTCCAAAAAAATATTCTCACACGACTGTAGAATTGGCCCAAAAGGGGCAAAAACTCGTAGCGTATGCCTGGCTTTAGTTTTCTGCAGCTTTAAATCCACCTGCAATCGTGTCATAAAGAATTAATTAAACTAATGAATGTCTCACAATAAAAAGTAGATTTTTTAAATGACAGTCTCTCCGTCTGACCTTAATGGTTTTTAGCCAACTGAACTTCTTTTTGGTTTTGTCATAAAAAAATACTTATCATGCCAAACAATGAAACAGTATATTCATACTGGGCTATGAAAAAGACGCCATTGTTAAGTACAGGGAACTGCAGAAATGACAATGTACTGCAGACACGATATTGTGTATTTTCACTGTGGAAAATCTTCTTTGTCATGTAAGAAATTAGTCTGCTATTGAGTCTTGCTAAGCTATCTCAAAGGGATTGGCCCGCACTATGTCTGACAAAACAAACACATAGGCAGTTTAATAGTTAATTCAGATAACAAACAGATCTCTCATTTTTGTATTGAAGTACCATTCACACCCATACTGTAAAAGCCCCACACCTCCTAAAACAGGTAACAGAGGCAAAGTGTGTTGATCACGTCCATGTATAGCCCAGCTAATGTGATCTAACAAGTGTTTGAGTTTAGGTCAGGACTCTAGGCATGCCATTCCCTCTTCTGGACTCCTAGGTTCTATATACTCTGATAAAACCCTGCTTTGTATGTGTGACTGTTGAATATAGAAACTGAGGATATGGAATTGCCCGTTTGTAGAATGTCATATTGAGTGAGATGTTGCACCACGGCATCTCAGTTCATCAAAACCTGTTTCTAATTGGCAGAGAACTGAGCACTTTGGGTGTGACTCTTATAATCGGCTCTGCTGCTCAAACCCATTTGCATGCATTTTCCTATAAAATGTGGAAGAATTAAATAAATAGATTACAAGGATTTCCACGGACATGAGTTGGATTGCAATGCATTCTCTCACTTTTGGTTTTGTTTATTTTAAAATGCTTATATACAATTACTTCTAGAACAAAAGCACAATTGTCATGACCTGCATATTTAAAGCCCAGAAGTTGTGTTCTGACTTTTTGGTCAGAATATTGGACCAAGGTTATCAGTAGGCCCAACGATTCTGTCCAAAATCATCAATTATTAAAAGCATTTATATAAACATTTTCAGAATACTTTGCTTCAAAAAACTCAATACACATTTGATAAGTAAGGTGGTTAATACAGTGCAACTGTCTCCATATACCCACAAAAAATGTTGGTACATTGAATTACTTAAAATATAAAAGACAAAGGGAAGAATAATGAGCCTAAAAGAAATTTAAAAGTACAGAGAGCTGCTGTAATGCATTGTTGCACATTACCCTTCATGATTCTGTACCAGTCTCTCTCATTGTATCTTCTTTATTTGTTCAAATAACCCCTTTTGGAGAAATGTAAAATTTTTTTTTTTTTTGCTAGTTACTAGATGTTCTATAATTGAATTTTCTGCATTCATGTTTAATGTTGTGTATGTAGTCTTTTGTATTAAGCGTTAAACCCCTTATGCCAAACAATGAAAAGAACATTATTCATTTCTTTAAACCTTATTAAGGTAACCGAAATGTCTGTCAGTTAATAAAACAAGGAAAACGCTGCTTTCCTTCTTACATATAGGATGAGTTAGGAACCCATTGTGACACTGAAATAATAAGAATGAGTGGACCTAATGGGTTTCCATTATTATTAGGAATGCGTGAGGAAAGAATTATATAATTGAATTATACACTAATTAATATGGATGGAATTTCCTAAACTTACTTTTGCAATTAGTTATTGTATTAATTGAAAGACAATTCTTCAAAGTGTCCTATTAACTCTCTACTTTAGTTTCAGATGTTTCTTTTTTTTTTTTTTACATTTTCTTCTTAATTCTGACAAAGCATCTTTATATTTGAAGAGAGTATCTCTTCTGCAGCAGGTACTTTTCCAGGCCTTATAAAAGATTTTTCTGTTTATTTACTTTTGTCTTTTTTTCAGTGAGACAGAGGGTTGACCGTATTATTGGATCGGTAACAGAGACACAATATGACTGAAATATGAGACGTAAAATGATGTAGGCACTCCTCCCACATTAGAAATGATTCATTATGCTTAATTTCTCTAAAAAGAAAACACTTTTAATTGAAGGGCTCAGCCTTTATTTAAAATACTATACACCAAATTGTCACTTAAAAAAATATATACATTTAAAAACAACTATCTGCATCTTTATACTCTATTTTTGAGTATGGGATTTTAGATTCTTTTGTTCAAATTGTATTCAAATATTTGTCTCATTACCCTTCTTAAAAAACTTATCTTAATTGATGTTCAATCAAATAGTTATCAGAAAAGAAAAAAAAAGTCTCGTTTGTTTGCCATTTGGACTAAAAAACTAAAATCCTAAAAAAAACAATTCTTACAAAAAAGTAGCATTACTGTTGTATTTATTGGAATATTGTCAATGGATTTTAAATATCTTAACCAATAAATTGTGAAACAGAATACAAAAGGGAGCAAATCGCCACATAGCCTACTTAGAAAAGAAGGAATCATTTTCCTCTTACCAGTTCAGGCAGATAAAAAATATCTGGGAATGTGGTGCATATTCCCATTCCACTGGGCAGGGTCCCCATAGACTGTGCTGTGGTGGCAGCCATCTCACCCTGTTTCTTCGTCCAACGCTAAGTCAACAGCAAACGAACAACCGCCCCGGTCTCCTCTGAACTAACGGAGTAACAGCAGGTGTAACTGAGCCTTATACCTAAGCCAGGTTTAGCAGACAAACCCGTTCTGCTATTGTGTGTATGTGTGTGGGTGTGTGTGTGGGATCCCTTCCCGCAACAGCTCCTCGTTGTGGGGCGAATCCAGGCACGCCCTCCTTACAAGCATCCAGCCCGCTTGGTGGTTTAACAAGAGCTGATGGTCTGTGACAGGCTTCTGAAACAACTACAGGAAGAATTTAGTAACCTGAGGCATGCAGTGATCCTATAAGATATGGTTGCTGCTGTTGTTGAATAACGAAACAGCTCAGTACTTTGTCAGGTAACACTGACACCGTGGCCCTACTGGTCCCTGTGGCCTTTATTTGTATTGCACACACTCACTTTAAAATAAGTTTTCATTCAAAATAAAAGAGCTTTCTGTGAGTGAACACATTTATGCATTAACCTCTCAAACAAAAGGCTTTTTGGTCATGACTCAAAAGATTTGTATGTCGACAATGAATCATAAGATTGTACCCTATGTAATAATCCACAGCAAATGTGTTGGTAAAGCTCTTAAGTCTCTCAGCCTTGTTTGCGTTTGATAACTTGTCAGCCATGTAAAACCTGGATTGCTTTTCAAAGCTAGGCTAACTGATCAGAGAAGGAAAATGTAACATCGTTCTTTTATGGGTTCAGACCCAATCCTTTCTGTCACTCTGACACAGTGATATGCTAAAGTTAATGCCTCTATCATAGTCAATTAATCCGATCTGCTGTTTTGTATTATTTTCTCTCTTTTCATGCAGTCTTTCCTGTCTATTTCTCTTTCTCCCTTTAGTTCTTATCCCACCTTTCTTTTTTTTTTACCTCCTTGCCCAATGTTTATGATTTTACTCCCTAAATAATTTTAAATAAATTTATACAAGTACCAAGAAGAACCTTATGGCAACAGTCATAAGGGTCTGCTTGTAAAAGCAATGGTGTCTGACTATTATTTAAAAAAACAATTACTGAAAGTAAACTTAAGTAATCAAAAGTATAAATCAATTTTTTTTAAATCAATCCATTGCTGTATAATTTTCAGAGTAAGTTACAGAGCTGTGTAACTTTTAGAAACCATATAACGTGTTGACGAGTAGAACAACTATAAATTCTACACCACCTGTAAAGAACTTTAGCATAAAAAGGTCACAAAAAATAAGGACACCTATTTTGATTATTATGTTTTATTCAAAACCACACCAAAAAGAAAACATAAGAGTCTTGATTATCCTCACATTTCTCTATGGAATAGAGATTTAAGATTAAATCTTTTACCGCAAAGAAAAGCATCTCTGCTTTGAGAACTCATTGAGAATTTGGTCAAATGGCAACAACTCATGCCTACAAAAAATATCTGCTCTGACTTTTTCCCATTTGTGTAATGTCATTTCAACCTGAAAAACTCACAAAAATAATATTGAGATATTGAAACATATTGTATGACTTTGGTGCTCAGGCCTAGGTGGGGTACATTAACAATGAATTTTAATTTGATTATATGCATGTGCTGCTCAATGAGAACAGAGATGAAGCTCTGGGCCTGAAAATGGTGGCGGAACAGAGATGGGATGCAGATTGATGAAAGCTGGAATAAGGAACAGGTTCATATGAACCACCATAATGAGAAACCATGAAGCGACAGTGGAGAGAAAAAACTCCCCTTGTGAAGAAACCTCTTTCATAATTAGGCTCAACAGGGCGGTCTTCCGCCGGAGCAGCTGGGGATGCCTTGTGAGAGCACTATGAGTCCAAGGAATTACTTCAACAGTGGCAAGCGGCAGCATGAAGAAGGATCCAGATGGAGCTGACGAGGATGGTGGAGAAGGTGATGGAGGAGGGTTGAATCAGGGTCATCAGAGTCAAAGTCTCTTGATAGCTGGTAGATTCTTTTAAGCAGGACTCGGATGCTGATTGGATTACAAGGAGGTACAGTTGAATGCTAATTGGCTGTTAGACATATGGATGAGCCTCTGATTGCATGAGGGTAAGTAATCCAGTGTATTCAGTTGAACTTCCACCCAAGCTTCATGCAAATCTCTAAAACAGTGGTGTTCAAATTCACTTCTCAGGGGCTGCTATCTTGCATGTTTTAGTCCCTCTCCCTTGATGTAGTTACCACCTCCTCAGCAGACCAAAGGTCTGCATATGCCTGTCAATGAGCTACCATTTCACCCGGGTGTGTAAAAAAACTACAACAGGATTCCTGTTCATAAGAATGAACTTAGTGATAAGAAGAACAGTGTGGCCAGTTGCAGTTCAAGAAAGCAAAAAAAGCAAATTAACAAGCTGATCTGAGCCAAAAGGAATGACTAACAACTTGCTTCCTAGAAATGTAGTGGAGCAGAAAGCCTGAAATTTGACTTTGCAATGAAGTGGAGTGAAACTTCTTTGTACTCACCGTCCCCCCCCACCTCCCTGTGTACCTCCACCCGTAGCTGCTCACTATTTGATTTTACAGCTGACACTTCAGTCTCACAAATCTGTGGTCTGTTTGTCACATAATCTCCACCTGAGTCTTCTGAAGTTTCCAAAAAATAAGTCATGCTGTATTGCATTAAAAGTCAAACTCAAAGACCATGGTCACCACAGTGTTGACTGTCATAGAATTAAGGGCAAATTAATGTATAATTAGGTAAGCAAAATTATTATGGAGTAGAAGAAGATCCAATAAAATGAATTAATAAATTCTTTTCAGTTTAAATGCTGCTTTTCTATTCTGTACTAAAAGCAACACAACCTCCAGGTTCAGATCAGATTCAGAATTTTTATTGAATTTTTTTTTATTCAAGGTCAGAATGGCAGGTTGATTTAATCCTCGCAGATATTTCAGTCTCATTTGTATATAGAAAAATCCCATTAAATTGCATTAATTTGTCCTTTGTATTTAATTGTTCTTCTGATTAAATCTTCAACAAACCAACACCTTCCAGTTTTAAAAGTATTTATTTTGTGACAAAGAATATCAACAAAACATTAAAGTGAATTCATCCATTAACAATCTTAAATGTTAACATTTACTCCATAATATCAGTCATAAAAATGTGAAACAACACACTGTTGTTAGTAAAAGAAATATAAAAAACAAGGTCAATCAAAAAGAAAAATCTATTTGAATTTTTTAAATCTAAAATATAAAGAAAACAGACGAAAAAAGAAACACAGTGAAACTATGAGGTGGAATTCTTCGAGATAGTTTTGACTACTATAAGTTGGCACAAATTTATATTGTAGTTGTGACCTCTACATTTCCTGCTACACACTTTTGAAACAAATGTTCTGTAATAGTTTACTGTATTTTATTCTATGGCAATTGGAAAAATTAAATAATTGAAATGTAACTATGGCACATCCATCGAAAACAAAAAATGGCCAAAGAAAACCATAAAATATATCTTCGCCCCAGAAAAGCTACTCATTGAAGGTGAGACATAAACAATAAAATGTCAGACAAAATTGGAATCAAAGACAATCTTAAGTCCTATCTGAATAAGTATACATATTCTAAAGGAATAGAAAAAGTTTAAAATTACTTTGAATGGTTGAACAAAGTACCTTATCTTGTCACAACAACAGCAACTTATGAAGTAGTAAAAGCAGAATGGAATGCTTCTTTTACACTAACGTAACATAGTGACATTTATCCCTTCATTTTACAGAAAGAGTCAAACAAAAATGTACCACTTTATCTCTCACTTCATGTCTGGAGATTCATGCTTCAGGCACTCTTCCATCTGATTGCAGAGAAAATGGCATGGAGGAAGTAGAGTAGAGTAGCCACATGAGACATCACCTACAAAAACAAAGAGTATTAAAATATCTGGACACCTCCTGCAAACAGAGAGGTATACTTTTGGAATACTGTTAGCTTCATACCAATTTCCTGAATGAAAAAATCTGGATTTTACTTTTTGACTGAAAGAAAAACCTATAAAGTATTTAGTTTAAGACTGGAATCAATCATTTCTGACCTTGGGAGACGCCCCTCGGATTGTATGCAATACTTGCACTATCTATAGTATATCTACGGTGAAAATACACCAGTGAAAAATGACATTTTTTGGTAAAGGAAAATAAAAATGCTATATTCATATTATTATGCTGTCCTGCATAAAAACTTTTGTTTAGATGAGGCGCTGGGTACAGAGAGACAAAAACTGTATCTGTTCATAAATTATGTGGTAAAAATATGCGTCAAGGTGAATGCAAGCAGCACCACCGTGTATTCAGGGCCCACTGGTGGTACAGTGACACTGCCACAAAAACGAACTGTGGCATTGGTCACTGTGGAAAAAAAAAGGTCAGCAAACCACCAGATACATTATGTGCACTCAACCAATTCAAAGTAATCACAGAAACATGATGGTAAAGAGCTGCATGAAAGTTTTGGAGAAAGATGGAGCTGTGCAATAACTGTTTCAGAAAGCACTTAGCTATCATGTACACATGGCAAAACATATTTTGAAATCTTTCCACTCTGGTACGTTTATCTGTGTAGATGGGAATTTATGCAATATACTCTATATTTCTTGGAGTTTATCAGATAAATAAAAATACCCGTTTAGAGCTTTTAAACGATAAAACAGATGCAACAATCTCTTTTCTTACAGGTGCAAATGTTTAAATTAATATTCTGCTCACATTCTGATTCTTTACAGTCTAACATTAGGGGAGTGTGGCCTTGTGATTAGGGTATTGCACTAGGAATCCAGAGGTTCAGAGCAAGACCCTTAAAGGAATAGTACACCCAAAACATGATTAGCCTTCATTTTCTACTCACCCCCATGCTGAACAACACTCTGGAGTACTTTTTTGATATCTCAAATGCATCTGGAGATCTGGGAGGCTTCTTGCTGTCTGCTGACATTCAAATAATGGAGGTGCCCAGCGCCCGAGGCAGAAAGGTCCATAAAAGTCCACAAAAAACGTGTCAATATTCCTCCATTCTGCTCGTCCAATGTATTCCAAGTGTCCTCAGTGGGTAGCATCCATAATTTACTCGAAACGAAGTCATTTAGAATGTTTTTAGAGCATAAACAGTAGTGTATAGGATTTCCTAAAAGCGCGTTCACGAGTCTACGGAAACCGCGGCAGACCAAACCAGATGAAAGTGCGCATTCAGCTCGGCAAAGAACTCATGCTCTTCCTCAACACTGAAGTCCTCAGACATTTTTCTTTCGTTGTTTCTTTCTTTGCACAGGTAAACAGCACATTTCTTCTTCTACGCTTGCATTATTGGCAGAGCAGACGCTGAATGCGCACTTTCATCTGGTTTGGTCTGCCGCGATTTCCGTAGACTCGTGAACGCGCTTTTAGGAAATCCTATACACTACTGTTTATGCTCTAAAAACATTCTAAATGACTTCGTTTCGAGTAAATTATGGACGCTACCCACTCAGGGCACTTGGAATACATTGGACGAGAAGTATGGAGGAATATTGACACGTTTTTTGTGGACTTTTATGGACCTTTCTGCCCCGGGCGCTGGGCACCTCCATTATTTGAATGTCAGCAGACAGCAAGAAGCCTCCCAGATCTCCAGATGCATTTGAGATATCAAAAAAGTACTCCAGAGTGTTGTTCAGCATTGGGGTGAGTAGAAAATGAAGGCTAATCATGTTTTGGGTGTACTATTCCTTTAACCCCACAGTGCTCCCCAAGGGAATGGGTTAAATGCAGAGAGTTCATTTTGTTGCTCTGTACTCTGTATAAAAAAACTCGCTGGAATTATAAAACATATACTTTTGGTCATTTCTGCCCACTCTACTCTGAAAATCCTCTGAAAAGCAGTAACATTTTCAGGACATCCTTTTTGTCTAGAGCACCACCTTTCATATTTTCTGTCGAAATTCCTTCCTTAATTCCTGCAAGGCGTTCATAATATTATTTTTCACCAGCTAAACCTATTATTTAGGTAATTTGGGTCTGTGCTTGGGCTCACTGCAATGCTGGAAAATGAAATCCATCTTAATCCCCAGGTCTTGATCCCTCAGTATGATGCAGTCGCCACTTTGTTTTAATGTAAGTTAATGTATGTTGTTCTGTGTCTGACATGCACCATTCTGTCTTTGCATCAAATATTCCTTCTGGAATTGTGACCCACCAAATGAGTGAGGGTCCATCACAATAATCTAGGAAATTATTTGCCAGAAAATCTTTAATATCCTTTTACTAAATGATACTTTAAAAAAAATTGAATTTTGGAATCCCATGTCACCTCTCTCTTTATAAGATTTTTGGAAATGCAAATGAGTAAAAAACTATATGGGAAAATCAAGCTCTAATGATGTATGGTAGGTGTGAGGACTAAAATCTTTGACTATTCTTTATAGCTTTTTTGGTCAGGGATTAGTAGTTTTTAATTTTCATTTGGTTGAACATTACAAGAGATGTTTCAAATTAAAGGTAAAGGTTTAAGACGATTATCTCTTAAATCATGCTGTCAAGGTGAAACTTTTAATGTTTTCTTTAAAACACCATGCGGTGGCCTTTATGGTTTAAAAACCAAACAAAACAAAAAACACAATCATTTTCATTTGACCAAATCTGACCAAAACAATATATGCTACAGGTGACGGCCTTATAGTCACAAAGGTCAGGGTTAATCACTTCTAAAACATTTTCAAGCCAAGATATTATGTTTAAAATCTATTTCAAATTCTTCTATTAGGAGAAGTTTATTTTAATTTGGTGTTGTTTATCCACACCACAGTAGAAATATCCCACACCATAAGCTGCAATATTCATATAACAACTATTTTTATAGCATTTTTGCTCAGGGATTAGTTTTTTTTTTTTTAAACATTACAATAGATTTTTCAAATTAAAGGTAAATGTTTAAGACAATTATCAACCATGTCTTAAACCATGCTTTCAAGGTTAAAACTTTTTATGTTTTCTTTAGAACACCATAGACCATACCATGCCATTTATGGGATAACAAAGGATGAAATTATGTTGAAAAAAGGTACCAAAAAATAAATAGTAGTAAATAAAAGTTTTTAGAACCCAGTAATCCATTTTAGTTGATATGACCTAAACAATATATGCTATGGTGACAGCATCATAGTTATAATGGTTAGAGTTAATTACTTGTAAGACCTTTTCAATTTAAGGTATTTTTCCATACCACAGCAGAAATGTCCAGTCGGTAGATCTTCAGTTCCTCAAAAGTACCCATAGAATTCTTATTTTGAATGGTGACGTAGGCCAAAACCACCGACGCACTGAGGTAGAAAACAGCCGCCAAGAAATGAAAACCTGTGTCCTGCAACCAGAGGTAAGAGAGACCATTAGTGAATATACAGGTGCTGGTCATAAAATTAGAATATCATGAAAAAGTAGATTGATTTCAGTAATTCCATTTAAAAAGTGAAACTTGTATATTATATTCATACATTACATACAAACTCATATATTTCAGATGTTTATTTTGTTTAATTTTGATGATTACAAATGACAACAAATGAAAATCTCAAATTCATCGTATCAGAAAATTAGAATATTGTGAAAAGGTTCAAAATTGATGGCCCCTGGTGCCACACTCTAATCAGCTAATTAACTCAAACCACCTGCAAAAGCCTTTAAATGGTCTTTCAGTCTAGTTCTATAGGCTACACAATCATGGGGAAGACTGCTGACTTGACAGTTGTCCAAAAGACGACCATCGACACCTTGCACAAGGAGGGCAAGACACAAAAGGTCATCGCTAAAGAGGCTGGCTGTTCACAGAGCTCAGTGTCCAAGCACATTAATAGAGAGGCGAAGGGAAGGAAAAGATGTGGTCGAAAAAAGTGTACAAGCAAGAGAGATAACCGCACCCTGGAGAGGATTGTGAAACAAAACCCATTCAAAAATGTGGGGGAGATTCACAAAGAGTGGACTGCAGCTGGAGTGAGTGCTTCAAGAACCACCACACACAGACGTATGAAAGACATGGGTTTCTGCTGTCGCATTCCTTGTGTCAAGCCACTCTTGAACCACAGACAGCGTCAGAAGCGTCTTGCCTGGGCTAAAGAGAAACAGGACTGGACTGCTGGTGAGTGGTCCAAAGTCATGTTCTCTGATGAAAGTAAATTTTGCATTTCCTTTGGAAATCAAGGTCCCAGAGTCTGGAGGAAAAGAAGAGAGGCACTTCATCCACGTTGCTTGAAGTCCAGTGTAAAGTTTCCACAGTCAGTGATGGTTTGGGGTGCCATGTCATCTGCTGGTGTTGGTCCATTGTGTTTTCTGAGGTCCAGGGTCAACGCAGCCACATACCAGGAAGTTTTAGAGCACTTCATGCTTCCTGCAGCTGACCAACTTTTTGGAGATGCAGATTTCATTTTCCAACAGGACTTGGCACCTGCACACAGTGCCAAAGCTACCAGTACCTGGTTGAAGGACCATGGTATCCCTGTTCTTAATTGGCCAGCAAACTCTCCTGACCTTAACCCCATAGAAAATCTATGGGGTATTGTGAAGAAGAAGATGCAATACACCAGACCCAACAATTCAGAAGAGCTAAAAGCCACTATTAGAGCAACCTGGGCTATCATAACACCTGAGCAGTGCCACAGACTGATCGACTCCATGCCACGCCGCATTGCTGCAGTAATACAGGCCAAAGGAGGCCCAACTAAATACTGAGTGCTGTACATGCTCATACTTTTCATGTTCATACTTTTCAGTTGGCCAACATTTCTATAAATCCTTTGTTTTTATTGGTCTTCAGTAATATTCTAATTTTCTGATATGATGAATTTGAGATTTTCATTTGTTGTCATTTGTAATCATCAAAATTAAACAAAATAAACATCTGAAATATATGAGTTTGTATGTAATGTATGAATATAATATACAAGTTTCACTTTTTAAATGGAATTACTGAAATCAATCTACTTTTTCATGATATTCTAATTTTATGACCAGCACCTGTATAGTGTTATTTATATATATATATATATATATATATATATATATATATATATATATATATATATATATATATATATAGGGTTATTATCAGAACACTGTCTTTGTTTTGTCCTGTATCTACAAAAATAAAGCCATCAAAGTGTGTGTCTAACCACGCCAGGCCAAAAGCTGCTTTTATTGCCTCCACAGGCGAAGATGAAAAACCACAGAGTCGTCCCAACGAAGCAGAAGACTGACACAAACATCACCCAGCCCAGAGGATTGTCCGGGGTGACCCGAGTTGAAGCCACCAGGATCCACACCAAACCCCCAATGACCTGCAGGGTCAGGAAAGGAAAGAAGATGTTTGAAGCTCCAACTCTACATAATGCTCTACAAAAGTATAGAAACGTAATAAAAAATATACAATCAAGAATATGAGCGTACCGTTTATTTTTCTTTGCTTCATATTTACCTGAAAAAATAATGACACCTTGTGCAATAAAAGTTTTTTTACATGTTCCTACTTGTTAAAATGTGTTTTCTGCCTCTATACTTTTTTTCTTTACATTTTTCCCAATTTTTCTGTAAATAGGCTGCTTCTATTTTCTTTGTTGAATATTTATCATTGAATTTGAGCTTGTCTTTATAACAATTGAAATTTTCTTTTTTTCTCTGAGATGTGTTTTTGTTTTTTGTTCTTTGCTGTAAAGTATAAGTTACTTTTCATATTTTATAGCCTGTTTGCTTTTTTCATCTTTTTTGTTACACTGAAACACCTGAATTTCTCCTCTGCTGGTCAATAAATAGTATTTCTATTCAATTCTGAATTATTATTCATTTAAGAACTACTTAAATAAATTGTTATCAGACAAAAAATATTGAAAAGGTATTACTGATAAAAAAAAGTGAAATATAGTTATACATATATTTTAATATACATCTATCTATCTATCTATCTATCTATCTATCTATCTATCTATCTATCTATCTATCTATCTATCTATCTATCTATCTATATATGAATATATATATTCATGTATTTGTTTTTTCTTGAGGCTAATGAAAGGCGATACTTTAGGCTATTAGAAAGTACACACACACATTCTGATATGCACAGCATTGCCACTATTCATTGTATTATTTTAGTTTGCCTCTCCTCCTTTGACAAACACTGGGTTGAAACAAACCTTTCGAGCGAAACAGGAAAGCTCAGCGATTACTCATTGATCAGAGAGACTTTCATATCCTTTTGTAAACATCTAGATTTTTATCTGCTTATGAAATAGTGTTTATAAAAAAGACAGTGATAAGTTCACATTTACATATATTATACAATACAATATATACGATAATATATACAATATATTTTACAAGTAAATTGATATTACAATGAATCAGAACTTTTAAAGTTTTAGTATAAAAAAGCAATAAAATTTGTATTTATTTCTTTGTCCTTTACTGAAAAAGAAATTAAATACATTATTAAAAAACTTAAAAGTAAGTAAAAGATTTTAAGTATACTGTGACTCCAGATAGATTGTAATATAAGAACAAATAAAACCAAATAGTATAAGAGAGAAGAAAGCAAAAGCTTTGCAACAGTGTGAAAGTTTGAAACCTTTAATATAATATTTGTCAGGAGCACCAGGAGAGGTTTTACAATTTAGTCATATTAAATAAACTTTTTTTCCGTTTGTTATTAAGGTGACTAAGCTGAAATTAAGTTCTGCTGCCCTTTAAAGAGCTTCTCGAAATGTACTAATCTGCAACCATAAACTAGAAGCATGGCTGCCAGAGAGGCTGGAAATAATTAAAGAGATTACATTATTCAAAGGTGTGTATCAGAAATGAAGAAACTGAGACAATAGAAACAGTGAAAGTCAATTGCAAAGGAACAGGATCCTAGGACAACATGGAGATCATAAAAACACACATTTCTCCAAAGTTCATAAAAAAAACTAGGCATCAGCTGGTGAGGAAAGAGGACAATGAAACAGTAGAACTTAGGATTTAATGAGATTGGATTTAAAGTCCTGTAATGAATGTTTCTGAGCTCAGCAATAAACCTAGCAAAGGTCTTTGGGGGTCACCCTAGAGGGGCCCTTACAGAGAGAAGTCCTCCAAATCTCAAAGAATTTTGGGATGGTTTGAAAATAGAATACACAGCAAATGCCTTTTCACAACAAATTGTTTCTTTTTTTTTTTTTTTTTTTGCTAGTTGAACTCTGTTTAAAAAGATCATTAAATAGGATTGAAGAAGATCGTCAAACAGAAGATTGGTAAATGGATTTTGAATTGAAAAAGCTTCCTGGATGGGAACCGAAACATCTGCAAATTTGGAAAAATGTACAGTGGTTGTTTTTTAACTTTTTTGGAATGACTAAGACCTGGATGACTGAGAATCTTCACCAGCACACTGTTAAACTGCGACAGAGTGTGTTCAGTCGAAGGCCTATATATATATATATATATATATATATATATATATATATATATATATATATATATATATATATATATATATATATATATATATATATATATATATATATATATATATATATATATATATATATATATATATATATATATGAGTTACAGCAACATTTTATTTCTCTTTGGGATTCATAAAGTATTTTTGAATAAAATTTGGACTAAAGTGAAAAAAAAAGCCAATTAATAGAAGTTCTGTGCACCTTTCAGAACCACTGTATCAGCAGAACAATAAATATAAAGACAGCTTGCCCTACTACTAAAGGAAATTCAATAAAAATGCTCTTCTAAATACTATGCAAAAATCTCTAAAACAAAAACTAAAACCATCTATTACTATAGATTGGCACATATATTCGTACCCTAACCTCATTATGGCATTCTACTATAATGAAAAAGAGCTACAAACCCCTCCTGAAACTATATCAACCAGGTTTCTGTTAGCTTTGCAAATATTACTGTATCAGAGGATGGAATCGCTATTCATACATTTCTTCAGCACCAAGCAGCCAAGCTGCAGTTTGCCTAACAGGAATGTGCCATGCCCTAAATCAAACAATATGTCTGCAAACATTTCTCCAATGCTGTGCGTTCCTTTAACATTGTGAATGCTGATTTCTTCTTTGAACTCATTAAGCTCTTTGAGTACTTTTCTTTATGACTCACAGATATTTTAAAAATATCTTGATTAACAAAAGGTATTTCTACTATGGACCTACTATGGACCATACTACCATTGTTTTTGCAAGACAATTTTAAATGATGTAGTTTAATTCTTAAGCCTAATTTTTTCAAAGAATATAAACACAAAGACGACAATATCTTTATTCAGGCAGACGCAAAACCTTATGTCATAATATCTAAAGATTGTCCCCTAAAATCATTGTCACGTGTCTTGACAATTTGATTGATTGATTGACTTTACTGATCTCACAGTGGAGAAATCTACTTGTTACATGGGCTCAAATAGCCAAATAAAAGGTGCCAAAGGAAGAAAAGGTCTATGTGAGTATATACAGTATATACAGTGCGTCCACATATGACAGCTGAAGTCTTTTTTCAGTCACCAGAAAAAAGTTTTTTTTATAATACCTACTTTTGGGATTGCTACTGAATTATGAGGTACTGTTTTACAAAGGGAAACATTCTAGCTGATATATGTTTTCCAATTGGCCGGCAGGAAGGGTTTCCACTTCATCTGTATTAGATCAGGTCAGCTGATCTAAGATAGTGTCTGTTTCTCTGTCTTTCAAAATGTGACCATGAAACCATTTATGCTGCAAAGATGTTCCAGCGCTCCGTGTGAAATTATGGAGACACGTTAACAAAAGCAGCTCCACAATATCTATTTCTTTCAGGGGGCTGGCATGAGATCTTAAAACATTCAACCAGGTAACTCTTTAACTATCTTGACAACCTGAGCCATTGTGATTGATCAGCTTTGCTGAGGCCCCTCTTACTCACTGAAGAAATGGTAAATAGAATGAGAGTTTTCTCCGCTCCTAACAAAACCCTCAGTCTAGGTCTGCAGTGCAGCCACAATCCAAACAGTATTTCACCTTCTGGGATTTTGGTTTCACCAAAAAATTCCTTGTTGGCGATTTAATTAATTCACAGCAGCCAAACCCTATAGAGACTTTCCTCTCTTGGGTTCCTCTTTTTGACCTCACTTTTTATAAAAGGTTTTGATTAAAATCCTTTAAAAGATCTGCAGGTTTTTAAACAATGAACCTCCTGACCTTAGACCCTGCAAGATAATTCAAGAATAATCTGAATTGTAGTACAGCACAGCCTCAATGTCTTATTTAAAGACATCTATGTTTAATGAGTTGAAAAATATTTTAGATTTACCCATTCTAGTGTTAACAACTGTCCCTCAGTCAGCCAGGAATGGAAAATGGCTGCTAATTAAGAGTTTGATCCAGCTAGAGGTTTTCTTTCTGTTTGGTGTGACTTTTCCTTTCTAATGTCAGTATTGCTGCAAAGTTAACGACTATATGTAATCAGCTATCTGCAATTGCTACCTGATTATTTAGGAGGAGGTATTGCTGCAAAGTCAGACCTCATACAGTTATCCATATCTCTATGAAAGTGCATTTTTAATTAATTATCTTAATAAAAAGTAATCGGTAGCTTAGCTGGAACTGTAACATAGGTCATGAGGGAAATTGCAATTGTTAACTAAATCTGTTTGTTGAGCTTGCTTTTTATGAACCTGTATTATCAAAATCAAATAACTCTCATAACTTAAATGAACAAAAAAATTGTTTGGGATAGGAATGTGTATTCACTTCTAATATTATAGCTTCCGCAACTAATGACAGTTATAATCATTGTCATGTTAACACCATGAGGGAGCTCTTCTGTTTGGCTGCATCAGGTTTTTTTTTTTTTTTACTCTGTAATAGACATGATAGTAGATGATCAAATTTCGCATCCATACCTCTGCCAATATCTTTTATTTAAAATGTACTATAGAGCTTAATTTGCTTGTATTTTGTGTTTTCAGGAAGGGATATTTTGGAGGCTTCACACATTACAATTTACCTTAATATCATTTGACAGTAAGAAGGATCATGTTTAATTAAAAGATGACTTTCATAACTTTGCTGCATGCTCTCTTTTTTGGGGGTTGTAGGCATGTTGCCCAGGGATATATCCAACACATTATATCTCATAGATTTTACAAGAAAACATAAAAGCTTCCAAAAATGTAACCAGCTCTTGTTTTTATTTGTCCATAACAGGAGTGACTGTTATAGACAAACCAATTTCTTTTGATAATGGTTCAAATAAACAGCATTGGTACATTTCCATTACTGAGTGGCAGATAATGTGAAGGGTCGGGCCACAAAGTGAACCAAATGACCTGACGGGTGGTTTAGATTTACACCTCGCTCTGCAACTATATCTGCGTAGCACAGGTGTTTTTCCACCTGTGTCACAAAGATTTAATCTTCCATGTTTCCCTCTGCAAAGTAAAAAAGAACACAGGAGTCCTGGTGTTATCCACACCTTAAAT